GCTGAAAATCTGAGAACACTGCTTAAAGGCGCTTTGTGGGTACTGAAATTGAAGGTAGAAGATGCACAAACAACGTTGTGTGAAACTTTTTCACAGTTTAAACGAAGAATAATGAGAGCTACTTCTCTTGTTTTAATCCAATTGTATTTCCTTTAAATATAGTTTCATAAATCTTCTCGTCATTTGAAGAGAAACAACGTTATTTTGGAAAACTCGGCTAAATAAGCCATGTCTTTGCACCTAATAGGTGCAATCGGAGCTTATTTAATGACTTGAGCTTCACAGCGGAAAATTTAATGATATGTAATGAATGAATAATTAGAGATAACAATCAAGAGTATTTAATTTTATTTGATTTTTTTAAGGTTGATGCACATACAGATGAACTTGCAAGATTATTTTCATGGAATTTGGTATGCAAATCTCAGACAACAACAAGGTCTCCAAATGGGATTTGTCCATCTTTTTTTTATATATATATATCCTAGTTTTCTTGGTTTTTCATTTTCTTTATACCACACCTCTTTCATTAAAACATGAACTTTAGGTTACAAAACACAAATATATCATGAAATGATTTGATTTACTTTAGGCACAACAAATATAAAGGACAAATGGCCACACTGTTACAAGAATTCTAGGAGATCTTACTTTAAAATTTCCTTCTTTAACATTTTTTGTTCGAGGTAGACATGTATCTTAAAACTTTTTCTAGCAAAATCAGAGCAATAACTCATCACTTGAACAAGATATGTTGTGCTATATCATTACAATATAAACTACTTTTTGGACCATGAGATAAGATTTAAGAACTATGTTTCTATCGTTATCCCATGATCGATAATGAAATTAGTTATTCAAGATTACGAGGGCTAAAAACCCAAGACGATGCCTTCCTCATAAACCACATGAAAAGTTGAAATAAAGACTAAAAAAAATTAAAATCAGCAATTATGTAAAAAATAAAATATAAAATAAGTATATTAAAAAAAGAGAGGCTCCACTTATAAATGGAGAGGTTTTAGAGACCGAAGATGAGGATATTTTGATTTAGAGTTTTGGTGGCTACATTTAGGGGTTAAAAAGATGCAGAGAGTAAAGAGAAAAAGACTAGAGATGGAGGGTAGGTTATAGGCAGAGGAGATCAATAGAGTATAAAGGCAAAGACTAGAGATTAAGGGTGACATATGGATAAGCAGCGTGAAACTACTTTTACTATTGATTTAAAGTTTGAGAATTTTTTTTTTCATTTTACATGTTTTTTTATGGTCTTTTAGTGTTGGTTTAACTAGTTTAGTTGATCAATCTTTTTAGAGTTTTTGTAATAAGTTTTTTAGGCTCCTCTGATTTTTTGTTACTCAATTATTTTAAGCACCCTTATTGATATTGACCTTAAATACCGTACTCTCTAGCAAACCTTTATGTCATGATGATGAAAATAAATTTAGCCAATAATGTTATTGGTAGGCCCCTTCTTTATAGTATCTATACAATGAACAATACCAAATACTTGGCTATAAAATTTCCCTTTGAAAGAAGATGTCTATAGTAAAAGAGACCATACAACCTTCAAAAGATGCACCTTTCTTGCTTCAAGGGTAATGAAGCTTTATTAGTGGACCATACATGGTCATTTAAGGAGAAAAAGAAATACACATTAAAGTTGTAGAATATTTGAAAAAGTAAGTTTTTATAAATATGATACAAGCTCCATTGCTAAGATTAAATCTATTTTGAATCCTGAGTAAGAGAAAATCATCATAGAGCTCCTTCATATCTAAAAAATCTAAAAAGATAATTTTACTTTTAGCCCCTCATACATGTTAGGAATTAACCTAAACATGTTCTCTCATCGACTGAATGTTAATCTCTCATTTTCTTATATCCATTAGAAGAAAAAAAAGGATTGTCATAATCTATTTTTGGATCTTCATGCAAAAAGAAAAAAATTGAAAAGAAAATAATAAATAAATAAATAAAAATAAAAAATATTATAAAAAAAAAATATAGAAGTGAAAAGAGGATACCAAAATGCCTAGAAAATGGTCAAAAATTGGTTGAGGAGGTTTAACAACACAAAGATTAAAACTTGACGGAATTTTTTGACTTATGAGAGGTTTGG